ATCTCATAAGCTTCTGTGGTCTTCTTGGCGTAGTTCAACAATAGCGTCCCAAGAGTGCGAACGCTTCAATGACGTTGAATGTGTGCTAGTAGTTGGCTAATGACACCTGTCATTATCATAGCTGAAATATCAACGGTGTTCACCAGCTAAGCAGAGAATTTCACCCAGACCACATTTTTAAGTAGTGTTTCAACAATTTGTTAATAGCTCGGTAGGCTTGGGATTAGGGTTAAGGTAAGTAAGTATTGGGGTTAGGGTTAGGTTTACGGTTAGGATAAGGGTTGTAATTCAGGTCAGGTTTAGCGCCTAAGTTTAGGGTTAAGGTCAGGATTAGGGTAAGTTTTACGATTAGAGATAGATCTAGAGTTAATGTCATTTATATTTATTTATTTATTTTCCTATACACATTTTCCTGGTAACTATTCGTCGATCCTCTTACTGTGAACCATCGTAATTCAACCGAGGGCTTTTTAAGAAGGCTGCACAACAGGATAAAAGAGATAAACGATTCACGAAAACAGCTCATCTGTAGTCATATCGGTGAATGTATGTACAGAAACTAGTCTAACTTAGCAACTGTTACTCCTTACTATAAGTGGGACGAATTCTCAAGTCATGTCAGAGAAAGAAAGATACCCTGTTTATGTGTTTTCATGCATTTTATTCTGGTTAGGACTCTCGCCGACCATGTACATGGTCCAAGGTTCAATCCCCTGCCGATGCACACCTCATATCTATGGTTGGCCTGCGAAATTTGGGCTACCAATATCCATGCTCAAAATTCCATACTTGTACCAAAAATACAGTGTGGAATCAAGCTGCAATCAAAAATAGAAACAGAAAATATTCGTCATTTTTCGTGCAAAATTTCCTCATTTTTGTGATTGGTCGGTTGAAAGTCACCCGTGCGTTTGCATCCCTTGAGACGCTATTGTTGAACTTCACCATCATATAAACGAATTTTATGAAATATTTTTTTAGTACTGACACTTCTTATATCGACTTCATTTCATTATTTTGGTTACCTTATGTAAAGCTTAGAAATGTCGATAGTTTCAGCACACGTAAACTCAACCATTATGGGAAATAAAATATACATTTCAATCAGAAAATGACCATGGAGAATTAGCTGTGTTACGTTGAAAAATACAACGTACAGATGAGAGTAAAATATGCAATGGCGTTTTAAAAGGCTAACTAACTTTCTCAGATATTTAGACTTCACACTGTCTCATGCGATACCTACAAAAGCAGGCTTAGTTAAGCGTTTACCAAATCCAGTGATAATTCTAAGTAGTATGTCTGAAAACTAAAATGATAAAACGAAACCGACTGGGGAAGTATTAGTGCTAAATAATTATCCCATAAAATTCAATTAGAAGATTAAAAAACCCACAAAAAAAAACAAAAATGGTTGTGGAATTATTGACAACAAAATGAACAGGAAAGAATTTAAGAAACGGTTTTGTTATATGAGAAAGGGTCATCTGAAACCCTACTCAGAATTCCTAATTAAGCATGAATTAAACCTACTAATTTGATCAAGTTCAAGCTCTATCCAAAGCGAGCTCATAAGTCATTCAATCACTGGGACCCAATCCAACGACCTATGAATTGTAGCTTCTGCCAATTCGCTGTATTTTCGCTCAACCTCTAACCAATGTCATCAGCCAGCAAATGTCCTCTTACCTTATGCACAGAAAGATGACAACACCAAGAAGATGGAATTTAAAACACCAGTGGTTCTCCTATACAAGGAATGAACCTCTCAAAAGTTGCATAGAATTCTAAAGAAAGCATGAATAAAAGTGGCAGTCGAATCCAAAAACTCACTTAGAAATAAATTATGTCCATTAAAGGATCCTATGGAGCTCAATAAACAGAATATTGTAGTCTACCCAACATCCAGCATTGACTGTCAGTTCATATACACATGTCAGAGTGGTAAGATGGGGTCACTCAGACTAGTGGAGCACAAGAACCTAGCAGAATATAAATTTTTTCGCCCAAATAAGACAAGAAATCTGGAGAATAGTTCAGCAGCTATTGCACTACACTATATGCAGTAACACACAACCATACCAATGGGCTGGATAGGATGAAATGAGACTTCTAGAATCTAAAGAAACAGGTTGAGGGAGATATTGATAACGGAGGATTCTTTTGTCAAACCAGCTAACTATAAGTAGGTGTAATAGGAACCATTCAACACTTGTCCACCCAGACGTCTGGATAATACTACTACCTCTATGACGAATCCGAGGCAATAAAGAAGGTTCCGTGACTGAAGTTTCGAAGTTATGTAATTATAATTGATATGAATATGAACAATAATAAACTATGATTGCAACTTCGTCATCCAGTATATAATACTGTTTCATCATTGTGTGATATCACTAATAAACAAATTAATATGGAGTTACATAATACTAGTGACATGATTTTACACAAATATGCAAATAATGGAGGTCACTGAAAACGCGCTATTTAAAGAGAAAAGAGTACTGAAATGATTAGAAAAACAGGTGAACTTTGGGAAACCAATAGACGCAAATGGTAGACTACCAGCTTCGTCTACAGTCAAATATCGATATGAATCATAAGATTAGATGTTAACACGCCTTTTAAGGTAATCTATAAAAAATGGTCAACAGCGCTTACTGAAATACGCTGAGGCTATAGCTATTTATAAAGACGAACCCTCACAACCCTGTGTGTTCCAAAACAATTTATTCATCCTCTTAGCCTAGATTGATAATCCTTATCTGATCTGTTAATCATTCTTATTATTATTGAAACGGTCTTACCACTTTGTGTATCACAAAAATATTCATCCAGATATCTATTAAGCACAAAATAATAGAGCAAAAAATATCCTCTTCGATAATTTCCTCTTCTGGCTCTGTAATTAATATATATATGTTTATATACATGGAATATTCTACGTTAGTAGTCAATAACAATATTAGTGTTTTTCATTAATATCAATCTGCTAAGGAAGATCAACGGAACTACAGTTCAATAAAAATGCCTAAATAATAATAGTAATAACAATAAAGACATAATAGCCAATGGAATATCAACTAAAATTAGGGAAATTTCCACGAAAATTGAGGATCATTCAAACCTAGGTGACCACGGTAAGGATAATGTCTGAACTATCAACTTTTGGATGCATAAATTCGGCTTGTCAATGTGGATCCCAACAGCCTTAGCAATATTTAGTAATCGAACACTTAAGGCAAAACTGAGATTTGTTGGTATGAGGTAAATGATTCTGAAAGCCGCCTCCTTGACAATATTGTTGTATTCTGTCTCCATAAGATGAGACAAAATAGCGTTGTGAATAGATTTTGTTTGTCCTTTACTAAACCACCCCTCAGGGTGATGTTCGGAAATCCGACGAGAAACACGCCTAATTGTACTGCCAGTGCGACTAACTGGTTTCACAGGAAGAGTTGAATAAGTAGATACGCATGGAAGAGGCGAAATTAGGCAGTTTATCTCTTACTTCCGAACTCAAAAGAGGAGTGGTGTTGAAGACACATTGTAATTCAGCGGCAGAGAGTGCTCTTTTCACCGTATTTCTAAAGTGGTGTGTCAGTATCTCGCTGATGTTATTTTCGAGGAAGTGAATTTGTAAGAATAAAGCGTGTTTAGGAACTGTTTATTCCTTGGACGGCTCTGATTTTTGATTCATATTCTTATCAATAAACTTTTCTAGATAACGGTTTTTTACTCAGCAACCGTTTAATATTTTTAAGTTCTTACTATACATTTTTTTTGTATATATAAAGACCACTGTACAACCCCTGAAGATAATATCGTTGCCATAGAAAATTCTGTTCTCTGAAACGTCTTTTATTTTCTTCATTGTGCAATATGTGAATTTACTTACCTAGCAAAGTAACAAATTACGCAGTCTAAAAGCAATAAGAAGTAGTGAGCATTGCTCAGAAATGATGATTACCACTGAAAATTACAAGAGGTTGGGGGCATGGACATTGTTCAGAAAAGAAAGAGACTTAGAATTTTTTCCAAGTATAATTTTAAGTCAGAAGTTTGAAAGGAAGAGATAAGACGAAGACAAAAGCCGAAGGAATGGGGATTACATAACAAGTGATTGTACGAATTAAAGAAAGGAAATTCTAAGATCATAGTAGCAAAACTGATTGTTCTCACTGGAACATAGGGCTCCAAGCTAGAGGCATGAAGTTTCTGTAGCAGTGGTACTTATTTTTACGGAATAGAGTTTCTAGCCACATGTCCAATCTTCCCTCTTTATCAGTCTTATTACTGGGTTAGCGAGTTAAAGGAGTGCGTCAGTGGCCGAGGATCAAACCTCCAGCATATGCGTAGTCGCCAAGCATTCTACCGTTGTCCCACCGACTCACACCTTAAGCATTACTGAGAGATTTTTCTGTTGATGCGGAATAATTCTCTAGAACAAATGGCTCAAGAGTTGAACTACGGGTCTGTCTAATTTCCCTTTTCAGCAACCATATTAGATGTTGTTGTGCTTGCATAGACAGTATCATACTGGTACGGCCGGACTACTTACGACTACGGCACCAAGTGGATTATTACATGCACATGAATGCTGGTAATAGTGAACGACTGTCTTTGTCGTTTTGCTGAATAAGAAGTGGTGTGAAGGAGGTAACGCCTAAAGATACGGTAAAGAATGTTTTTCAAACCGCTCCGATAATCATCTTCGATGGATTTTAATGGTTGTGTCACATTTGGACTTCACGTGTACAACTAACGTTTTCTTTAGTTATTTTCTCTTCTGTCAATTATCCACCTTACACCTCATGTTATCAAGTTGGAGTGGTTGGAGTAGAATTCAAGATTGGGGTCCACTAATCGAAAATAGATCGCTTACTCCAATAAGCCACCTTTCTATAAATACATCTTCATTTATTTTTCTCTTATAAATGATTACTTCAATAAACATAATCATTCATGCCATATATACTTTTATTTGTTAATAATTTCAGAAAGTCTTGGGATTGAACAAGTCTCTTATTGGCCGTTTCTCTTGGATATGGCTTCTCCAGGATTAAAACTGATTCTTCAAAGTAGATGGAATTTAGGTCAACTAAATCATGCAGTGAAACAAGTAAGGAGACTAACAATTTTTAGATTTAACGTCCTATTTAAAAAAGACTTCATTTGATCATATTTGAGAAACCGTTTCCTTTTCTAATAAATATCACTCAAAAGTTGGACCTGTCTTAACATTTATAATCACCATCAAACTTGTTGTTAACTTCTTTCAATATAAATAGAATCTACTCAGTATTGAGAGAACTCCGTTCACAATGTGCCTGTTTTTCGAATATGTAGTGAAGAGAATGACACAAGATAGTCGTTATTAGGGAGTATTAGACAGCTTTTTGAACCTAGTTTGGGGCACCCCAGTAACACACCTGCTAGGGCTCGAACCTAAGCGAGCTTGTAGACCATTCAGAATTGGCAGAAGTTACAATTCATATGCTGACATTTCGACTTCTATTACGACATCTTGACAGTGTCTTAGGATTAATATGAAGTTACTCCGACTGGTGATTAAGAAATTATATTATGATTAATGCCTTAGATTCCTAGTGGAATATATGACTTCAGCAGTATACCTCCGTTCCATTCTGTTCCCTGCTGTAATCTCTAGAGGTTTCCACGACTGCCAAAGGCTTTCATCTCCTCCTCACACAATCTCTACCATGTCTTCTCACCTCGTCTTCTTCCATTAGGGTCCCAATCAAACTATGGCCCGGCATGTTGCTTTAAAACAACAACATTCTCAACTTGTTTCCAATCCATCTGGACTTTTTCTGATTGCCTGTTGCACAAAAAGGTCCTAACTGATTGGTTACATGTCACAGTCCATTGCTGCTAATCACTTCCGATTGGACATTTGATGTTCAGTACAGATCCAGTAAAGGCAGCTGTTGATAGATGTCTGAACTAGACTGTCAGATGCGTCAAGTCTTCGAACCATATCGAAGCAGGTACGGATTTGATAGTGGTATTGGTAATGAAAATCTTGTTATTTACGCTGAATGCAGTATAGGTACAATGAAAGAGATGTACCTGAAGTGGATGATTTCTGTGTAGTCGTGTTGTGCTGGATAGTTAATTTGCGAAGCTTTCATTGCCCTACTAGGCAACATTGTCAGCGCATACTTCAATTCGTTGAAGTGAGCTCTCAGATTACTCCACAAGTTTAATTTATAATTCATCTCTCCTGGTAACCTTCCACGTGTTTGGTTGATTTTGCCTGTTTTTACATCCTCTAGGCCACTTGTAGTGGTATTGATTGTCTCTTTGACCTGAACTTTAACCCTTTGTGTGTGACATTCCCTTCTTATTGTTTGGTGAATTTTGTCTGTCGATGAGTCAATTAATTAGTGATTCACTGGAATACCAGGCGTATAAAAATTCTCTAGCATTCTTGGTGTTTCCTCTATCTAATATTTGATTGTAATCCCAGTCGGATTGATATTTGAGGTTGTTTGTATGCAGCGATATGAGGGATTTGATGTCATGTCTTTTGATGGCTTGTTTATGATCATGGATACAAAAACGAAGAGGACCTCCACTTTGGCTAATGTAGTGTTTTCCGCAGTCGTTGCAATTTATTTTGTACATGATGTTACTTTTATTTTCTTTCGCTGTTGAGTCTTTTGGTTAACAAAGAGCTGAGTGCAGTGATTTTGTTGTTTTGTGTGCGACATCAATTCCTAAAAGTTTGAAAAGTGTTGCAGTGATTTCTAAAATATCCTTTATATATGGTAGGGTGATTTTCTTTGTGCTTTCCTTAGAGGCATTTTATTCGGTATGTTGCCTTGTGGATAGATTTCTATTGATGAAGTTCCGTGGACTCCCATTCTTTCGAAAGACGTCCATGAGATAAACCATCCAGCTTAGAGGTTACAACTAAATCAAAATGAATGCAATATATTTACACACTGATTTCACAACAGTGAATATCTGTCATGAGTTGAGGACACTGGCTTTGACAACCCCATCTGTGCCTATATTTAGAAAAATGCAGCAAAAAAAATAAGTAAAAGGAGTGATTTCGTTCAAATTTCTCCCTTTGGCGGAAACTGCTGCTCTTTGTTGTTTTTGCTAGTTTTCTGGTATTTCTATCACTTCAGTCTTCTGTATATTTACTTGAAGCCTTGCCTTAACTGTTTTTTCTACTAGTGTGTTGGGTTTTGCATGTAAATCTTTGAATTTGTGTGACTTTATGCATAAGTCGTCCACAAAGTCTAAACCTTTGATTGGACCCTAGTCAGTGACTTGTGTAAGGTGTTTAATCCTTTGTTTGGTGCATATTGAATCCTGTCATTCTATCAGGTTCATAATTCGGTCACCATTCTAGGTGGCTTGCTATCACGGTGAACTTTGAATTGTTGATGTTAGACAGTTGGAGGCAATCGGCAGGAAGTCCTCCTTGATCTAAGTCACGTGCTAGTTGGCACTCATCAGTTCCAGCAAGGTGTATCTGCAACTTTGAAAGAACTCATGTCTCTTCTGACATTCCAACCTGCATTAACCAGTGTTCCAGCTGGAGATATTACCGCTAAGCTATTCAGGCTTGCAACTGACCTCCGGTAAGACTGTATCAGATATCCTGATTGGACTATATTTAGTGACTAGTGTAGTGTGTCTAGTCCTTTTTTTGGTGCAGACTGAATTCTAACAGTTAAGTTCGCAGTTTTCTTGTCTGTCAAAGGTATTCCTAGTTACTCGCTCCTCAGAATGAACCTCATGATCCAGTCCACCACAACTATGAATATCGTCGGTGATAGTAAGCAGCTTTGTCTTACTTCGCTGAGCTTTATGCTGTGTATCAACTGAAGTGTGACATTGTCGCATAGCTGCTGAATGATGTTTATAGAGGTGGGAGGTAATCCATATTGTTGAGGTAGTTTCAAAATTTCTTCACCGTCAATGCTACTGAAGGCATTTTCAAAGTCGATGAAAATGAGGTAGAGATGGATTCCACTTCTAGTCACTATCAGTTCAGAAACCTGTCAACCCTCTGATCACTATTGATAAGGCGATGACAATTTCACTCATATGTCGTTCGACTAAACTGGAGTTAGCTAAACTGCATTAAATCAATAAGTGTGACACTCGTTCAGGTGAATCAAAAATGACTGCGGAAAATCCCCTTTAAGCCAAATAACCTCCCTGTTGTTCGTTATAGTACTTAAAAATTGTTTTAATATAATTCAATCTAGTTTTCACCCTCACTTTAACCATCTAGTTCTAACCTCTTTTCTTCCAACTGGTTTTAGTTCCATGTGGAAATTTTAACACCAGTACAAGCGTTATTTGCAAAGCTGTTGAATAACTCAATGTCTGATACAACGAAATGTCATGAATTATCAAAAAAGGTAGGTTAATTACTTTCTTATTTGTGCAAAAGAACCGTATTCTCTACCTATTTCTGTTTCTTCTCTCGTAACAGTTTCTGTAATGTGTCAAGATTACTATAGCATTAAAAATGGTTTGTAATTCAAAACGAATCCTATAGCTTTGATACTTAACTGTGTATATCTCTTTACCAAAATATGACACCTCACCGCAACTTAAGAAAGTGCTCACATATGACGATGTTGACCATTTCAAATCAACTGTTTTAAACTGCTGCCTCAGATAAAAGTTCTGGAACTGTCCTACTGGACCACTCTCACTAATTTAAAATACTGAAAAGGGATTTCAAAAACGGTCACTTTAGAAGGATCCCACATGGACAGATGAAGCTTTATCTGACAAACAATATTGAAGAATATGAAAGATGAAGAGCTTATTAGTACAGAACTGTACGGAAATATTTGTCGTGCTCGTGCAGCTTACTAAAGTTAGAAAAACAAAAGAATCCACTCCGCCCAGTCTTAGATATAATGAAGTTTCAATGTCACTTTATCACAAAGTGGCTGGTAGAGATTCTTGGACTGGTAAAGGAAAAGCTGTTGAGACACAAAATCTGGTATACGTTTGATTTTTAAATTCGGTTAAGGATGTCAGTCTTGCGGATAAGAGATATTGACTCTCTCTCTCTCCATCGTTATTACACTGAAAAAAAGAAACAACTTTTAAACAGTGATTAGTAGGGTGATGATTTGCCCACAGAATTCAATTCATTTCATCAGTATCATTCTAACAACCTGATCACACATCCCATAATCAATTAAACTCATGCGAAAATCAAGAGGTTGAAAATAAGTAAAAATAGAAAAATGATTGGGGAAGAAAAACAATTTTTTTTATCCCCAAATGTCAGTCATCTCTTTTTTAAAAGGCGTACATCAATGGTATATTCGGTATTTGTGGGAGAATTCGGACCTCATGGACCTATTCCAAACACTAAACCACCCTACTCACCCGCGAAAAATACACTGACTTCAATCTAGGAGTAGAGTCTGCCTGAATGTGCCTTTTTCCCAATTTCGGACTGTGGAAAAATGTTGATAAGTAGTTGAGGCTATCCATCTACAAAACCCAACATGGAACAGACACTCCCAATTTTTGGAGATGTCCCTCTAAACGGCAGGAGGACTCTCATCTATTCTATTTCCTTAAGGATCTGAGAAATATGTTCGACAAAGAAACTTGAAATCTCCGAAGAACCTTGATGGAAAATAATTTCCCATCCGGATTCATAGACAAGAACCTGAAACCATATGAAGCTACTAGGGAGTTACAGGTTGCCCCTAAAACGATTTTGTTTCTTAGCCTCGAATTTGAGAGTTATATTGAAGCAAATTATCCTAAAATGGCTTTCTTAAACTTTCGGCAAAACACACTTCATTGTAGTCAACGAATGATGTTTTGGACTCAAGAAACTATTCGACCAGGATGTGGAAGATAAGCTGTAGCATTGGGACAGTTCAGCATGCACATACCCTAATTTAGTCAGCAAATGTGAATTAAAATGAAGAAGCAAGTCTGAATCATTCATTTATTGATGGTGTTGATAGTCGGAAACTACTCAGCTGTATGATAACAGAGCAAACATTGAGTATATCTAAAATATATTAAACTTCAAAATAACAGTATGAACTTATACTGTTCATTCAGATATTCCTTGACCAATATTTCTGAAATTGGCATCATAATTAGTGTCTTTTAAAATTATATCAGCCTTATAAAGTACGACAACCTCGCCACCGAAGCTGAGAAGGCAGCAGGCAAAAGGGACCTGAGGACACTATATCAGATAACCAAATCTCCATCCGGGAAGAGATCAACACAAGCGAAACCTATAAAAGACAGCCAAGGAAACCCAATTACCAAGGAATAAAAACAGATTAAACGATGGGCGGAGCACTTCAAAGGACTCTTGAACCGACCACCACCTGCAACTCGTCCAGAAATACCAACAACAGCGCGCACACAACTGCAAGTTGACACAAATACCCCAACGAGAGCTGAAGTCTTGAACGCAATCAAACTTCTGAAAGCTGGAAAAGCAGCCGGACCAGATGGAATACCCCCTGAAGCACTGAAAGCGGACCCAGAGACTACAGCAGACATGCTGTCTCCATTATTGCAAAAGGTCTGGAAGGAGGGAAAGGTACCTACTGACTGGAGGAAAAGTTACCTCGTGAAACTACCAAAGAAGCGTGACTCATGCCTCACTCTGCAAGAACTGGCGAAGAATCATGCTCCTGTCGACGCCAAGTAAAATCCTGAGTCGCATTATCCTGGAGAGATTGAAGGACGCACTGGATACAGAACTCCGACCAAAACAAGCTGGATTCAGGAAAGGCAGGTAAATCATGTACTGACCAAATTGCAACTCTACGCATCATCATCACAGAACAAAGCATGGAATGGCAATCAAACCACTACCTCAACTTTATGGACTTTGACAAGGCTTTCGACAGCGTTGACCTCGAAGTAATTTAGAAACTACTCGAGTACTACGGCATACCCCAAATATTCATCAACATTATTCAACAGATGTACAACAACGGCAGCGCATGTCAAGTCATCCACTACGGAAAACTCAGACAACGTTGCTTAATATCACCAATGATATTCCTAATTGTGGTGAACTGGATTATGCGTCAGACTGTGGGAAACGAGAAGACAGGAATATCCTGGACTGGCGCGAAGAACCTAGAAGACCTGGAATTCGCGCGTGGATGATTTACGTTTGATGTCACACAAAATCGAAGACTTACAAGCGAAAACCGACAAACTGGTTGAAGAAGCATACAGTGAAGACAAGACTCCAGGTGAACATAGACAAGACGGAGGTGATGAAAATAACCAACCAACAACAACAACAGCAGCAACATCCAGCGTCAATCACCATCAACGGGAGGGATTTGAAAGAAGTCACTTCATTCACTCACTTATCTAGGGAGCATTCTCTCAACTGTAGGCAGTCGGAACGGACGAGGATGTCAAATCGAGTGAGAATCGGGAAGGCGAGAAACACATTCATCAACCTGAAATCAATCTGGAAATCTTCGTCACTCAGCATCACCAACAAAATTCAGTCAGATTTTCAATACAAACGTCAAGTCAGTCAGTTCTTCTATACGGATCAGAAACTTGGCGGGTGGGTCACAAAGAATATTTCCAACAGCCTGTTGCACACCTTCATCAACAACTTTCTTCCCTCGATACTGAAGATGAGATGGCCGGCTGGAAGAATCACCAACAAGAAACTATGGCTGGGAACAAACAAAACAAGAACCAATCGCCCAACAAATATGCAGGAGAAAGTGGAGATGGATCGGACACTCGCTGAGGAGACCACTGAGCGACATCGCGTGCGCGTCAGGCCATTGCTCGAGTGACGCCAGGCCGAAAGGGAAGCGACGTGTGGGACGGCAGTGCGAGGGTGACATGGAGGAGATGGTGTGAAGAGGAGTTGAAAGAGTATGGACTAAGATGGATGCAGGTGAAAAGTACAGCAGAAGGAAGACAGAAGTGGCAAGTGAAGACGTGCAGTTGAAGCCCTGTGTTCCACTAGGAACCCAAGGGAGCAATAATAATAATGAGTAATATGAAGTGCATTAAAGTAAATAAGATCATCTTTGCAGACGTAAGCCTTGCAAGACACATAGTAATAGATCTCTTAAAGGATACGCGCACCGAAAAAGTTCATGATATGGACAACTTATTAATTTCTATAGTTAGAGGATTATTACCAGGAAAAGAAATTTGATTCAATCGGTCTGATACAATATAAGGAACGTTTGTAATTCTGAATGTAGTGGAATGGAACTTTCTTTGCTAAAAGTCTAGCATGTAGAAAACGATAACCCAAACCGAATTATTAAAAAAAATCACGAAAGAGAAGCCATCCAAACCAGTCAGTTACCCAGTTCGAAATGGATCTAGAATTCTAAAGAAGTCAGACCTCAGATATGCACAAAAATTATCCGTCTAAACCAGTCAGTAATATGTTCTTTGCAGCTAAATTCAATTTGACCTCCAGCAGTCGTGAGTTTATTCTTAGTCTCTGCTAAATACAGATTCTTTCGTCTATCCGCCTTTATGTGCATCCTTCAGTTCACTTGCTCTTGTGGGGCCGGAAATATCGGCCGTAGCCAGAGTGTGCTTTACACAGGGATGTGTGATCATATTGCCGCGTGATTTTACAAGGGAGAGAAGAAAGGCGTGCAAAACTCTATTCGAGAAAAAGTATGTTTTGCTAGTATGTCAAAACCTCTCTGTAAATAAACTCAATAATTTATTTAGACTGTAAGCAACTGACGAGAAGCCAACGGAATAAATAATGGTACCATATTATTCTGCACAAACCACCGTTGTTCTTGCTTTATTTGAATTCACCAAGGGGAATGAATGAATGAATTATTCGCGCACACTTGATCAACTTCTGTTACTCTATCGACTGTGAATGTCGTTTTAAGATCAACTGTCAAATTCACACTTAGTTGCCGCGTTTTCTTCGTTCAAAGCGTCTAAGGACTAAGAAAACTGAGATTACTGATGAACTTAGGCCAAACTTTCGTTTACAAAATCAGCATCATGGCTGTAGAGACATAAACATGTATTCGTGTACTAGATGGTTGGATAAATCAGTAGGACGCCTTGAATCTACGTTTCGTGCCTTTTGGCACTCATCAGCAAGGTATATCTATAATCCTGAAGGAACTCGTGTCCCTTCTAATATTCGCACCGGTGTCACCTAATGCTGCATCCAGAGACATTGCCACAGAACTATTTGGGCTTGTGCTTAGCTCACGATTACCACCAGGTACGAAACCTAAATTAAGGTCTTCCCCCCAATTGTCTCCAACCATCTTATAATAAACGTCCAGAGCACACAGTGATGATGAGTCACCTAGCACGGTGACCACATTGCAAACTTGACTGATAGAATTCAGTCTGTGTCAACATCAAGGACTAAATGCATATCATTGGTTACTAATTAGTGACCGACCTAAGTAATTTCTCAGTTACAAAATATCACTGTCAAAATAACAACAGCTGAGATTTAGATCAATGTATCGCTCTTAGTTTAATCTAATACAGAATGTTCTACGCCAATTCATGATCTACTGCCGTTATATTTTCACTAAATCTTTAATACATTTTAACTGACAAATACATTTTGACTACTTTTTTCTAGATAAGTAGTATGAAGATTCAACTTATGTCACATAATGATCATATGTGGATGGAAGAATTTTATTCTGAAGTAAGTTCATGATTACACTGAGGGATAAAAAAGTAAATCAATTCTACAGATTCCTACTTTTTCGGTTTCACAGTTGGATTTGAATCTCGTGACTCTTATCCCTTAAAAGTAAATTTATATGCACCGCATAACTTATAATCAATATTATCCGGTATCAAGTTATCAAGTGTTGAAGGGTTTCTCAGTTATGGCAGATGTCTTATAAAGGCTGCTTTTTTAAAATGTACATTTTCTTTTATCAGTCCCAGATGGGAGTTTGTATAAGGTGAAGCAGTGGATAAAATATCTCATACTGCTGAGAAATCCTCTGATCTAGTGTTCCAAAACTTCTCAATTATAAAGTGAATATAACTCCAAGAATTCAAGATCACTTTTTTAAGAGTCAGTTTGTAGTAATTTGAATTGTTTCAAGTTTCATCAGGAATTGATGTCAGTTAGGGAACCAATGAAAAAGAACTGGAGAGTACTAGACAGCCGTTTCGTCCTGTTTTGGGACTCTTCACCCACTGGAACTCAGATCAAGAAGTTTCGGTTACAAAGTGGGCTCGTAGACCATTCAGCCGATAGGATCTGAAAGAATGGTTAGGATATGGATTCAAACTTCTGGCAATTCAACAACCTGATACAAACTTTAATTAAAAGCTGCCTTCTTTAGCTCTATGGTGAAGATTGGGTGTCCAAGCAGAAATGATTAGCAGCACTGAACTCTCAGGACATATCAATCACTGTGCGTCGGTGGCACAGTGGTTTGGACTCTCGCCGACCATGCACATGGTCCGAGGTTCGATCCCCTGCCGACGCACACCTGATATCTATGGTCGGCCTGCAAAAGCTGGGCTACAGATATCCATGCTGAAAATTCCATACTAGTACCAAAAATACAGTGTGGAATCAAAGTGTAATCAAAAATTAAATTAAGAAAATATTGCCCGATTAATATATGGAAGAAATATAAGGTGGACTGGATATATTCTGAAGAGACCTCCAGGTGATATGATGCGCCAAGTCATTGACTAGAACTCGTGTGAGAAGCGCTGATTTAGGTGTGAGTCTGAGTATGATATTGAGAAGAATGTTTGAGGAGCCACCTGAAGAGGAATGCGGAGAACAGCATGAAGTGAAGATGTACTGTTGAAACACCACATTCTACTGCTAAGTCAAGGAAATGACAATAGAGAGAAAGTAACAAGAAATTCAGCGAATATCTCTTTTCATTGATTTCATTCTTAAGAGCAATTTTACAACCGCATTTATATACATAAATTTACATAGATACAAAAATATTACTTAATTCCGAGCAATAACGAAGGACATTAAAAATGACAATAATTTCAAGTATCATATGAAAGTCCTGTGTGAATGCAGATTGCATGTGACTTAAAAATTAAAATGCACAGGATTACTTTATATTTGCGTTAAATATAGATCAGTTTTTAAACGAATATAAGTGTGAATGGGACGAGTATGGAATGCAATAACAGTTTTTGTGACTGAAATGGAAAAAAGTGATTATTATTATTGCTCGCTTGGGTTCCTAGTGGAACACAGGGCTTCAACTGAACGTCTCCACTTGCCACTTCTGTCTTCCTTCTGCTGTACTTTTCACCTGCATCCATCTTAGTCCATACTCTTTCAACTCCTCTTCACACCATCTCCTCCATGTCACCCTCGCACTGACGTCTCACACGTCGCTTCCCTTTCGGCCTGGCGTCACTCGAGCAATGGCCTGACGCGCACGCGATGTCGCTCAGTGGTCTCCTCAGCGAGTGTCCGATCCATCTCCACTTTCTCCTGCATATTTGTTGGGCGATTGGTTCTTGTTTTGTTTGTTCCCAGCCATAGTTTCTTGTTGGTGATTCTTTCCAGCCCGGCCATCTCATCTTCAGTATCGAGGGAAGACAGTTGTTAATAAAGGTCTGCAACAGGCTGTTGGAAATATTCTTCGTGACCTTCCCGCCAAGTTTTTGATCCGTATAGAAGAACTGACTTGACTTTTGTATTGAAAATCCGACTGAATTTTGTTGTTGATGCTGAGTGAAGGGATTCAAAAATCCAAAAACCCATAAAGTAAAGGGTCAAGCAGAACTATGCCCATTAAAAATGTAGTGGCTGGACTGTTTTCTTTTGAACCTATAGCTCCCGCTTTTCGATGCATACAGTATATATAATATAAAGAAGTACTAAGAAGCTGGAAATGTATTGTCTTTGGTAGATTTTTCCTTACTTTGCAAATGATTCTAAATGATGAATGAGTTGAGATACAATGATGGATATCGACAAGGTGTTTAATTATGGTTCCTCTTTGCTGTCGTGTTGGGTAGTCTTTTAATCCTGTGTAATTTTGTATCTAGGCCACTTGTGTTCTATGAACTTTCATCACATCACATCAAAAATTATTGTCACGTTTAATCTCCCTCGTTATTGTGTGAAATTAAATAATAATTGTATCTATGTAAACTTATGTATATAAATGCAATCGTATAGTTGCTCTTGAGAATAAAATTGCTAAACAGATATTCCTTGCTGAAATATCTGTTTTTTTTTCTCTTTTTAACGACCTGATGGATATTTTCCACAATTTGGATTAACAATACACATTCTGTGAAATCTGCCAGTACATGTGGGATGTGGGTCATCAATACATTGAATAAAATTATTTCACATCATGATTTTAGCTCAACCACCAACCGATGTCATCCGTGGGAAATCCATCCTCATCCCCGACTGGATGGACATCACTGGTCACAACTTCTCACTAGAACTTCAGGCAATTCCGTCCTTTAGCAAGTCAATAGCGAGCATCAGATTAATTTTCAAGAGCCAATTTGTAATTAATTTGATTTACTCTGAGAAGTCGTGACCCGTGAGGTTCATCCAGTCGGGATATGAGGACGGAATTTCTGCCGATGGCATTGGTTGGTGCCAGTTGGTGCCAGAATTCATGGACTGGTCCCACTGGCCTCGTAACCATCAGGTCCTGGGTTCGAAATCCAGTGGGTGCACACTGACGCTGAGTCCGAAACTAGGACGAAACAGCTGTCCAGTACTCTCTGCCGGTTTCCAGTGATTCTCCAACTGATATTAGTCCGTGGTGAGAGTCGAAAAACAAGTGTTATCCTCACAAATCAACTCCTGAAAATATTTCACTGTTAGGGTATTCATTATTTCTGTTCGTTAGCAAAAATGTATGTCGAAAACCAACTGTGTAGGAAGTGCGAAGTAAGCAAACAAATAAAATTAATCCAAAAACTGATAGCGAATTTCACTACCATTAAAATAATTAATTTTATAAGGAATAAATTAAGATTTATTGCTTATCGTTTGGTTGTTTAATCGCATAAAAAAAAGTGTTCACAGTGTCTCATAGCTAAAAGATACGTAATTAGTTAAACGATTATTGTAAACGCTTTTCTGAATTCCTAAATTCATTTTTATGTTACTTCCTAACTTTCTGAGCAACTGATTAGCATGACCTCCTTTAAATCACCCCCGACCTCACACCGACGACCGACTCGCCGCTCCCCTTTCGGGTTCCCTTCGAGTGGTGACCTGACGTGTGATGTCACTTGATGGTATGTTTTCTCAGAGTATGACCAATCCACCTCCATTTCTTCCTTCATTTTTGTTGTGCAGTTGGTTTCTGGTCGGCTCGCTTCCAGAGATCCTTGTTGCTGATTTTTTACTGGCCATCTGAACTTGAGGACTGAGCGAAAACAGTGTCTGCAGTACTCTATAACTGGCTTCAGTATCACCCATAAGCTTTCATATTCCCTTTCTGATGATCTCAACCATGTCACGCTTGGACCAGACACTCAACTCGTCGGAAGAGTTAGCTCAGTTAACAGCCTCCATGGCTTGCATGTCTAATGTATTCTCCGCTTTCTTCGGAATATTTGTTGGGTGATAAGTTCCTAGTTAACTTGTTTCTACAGTTCTTGTCTTTTCACAGAGCTTATCTTTTCTGGCCATCCGATCTTTAATAGCGACCCAACAAGGTAGGTGTTGAAAAATGTCTTGAAATGCTTTTGACGACGCACTGACCCAGTTTCTGAACCATATGGAGGCAATGACTCTGCACTGGTGCTGAAAATCCAGGTCTTGTTCATTAGGCCAAAAACAACAGATTTGCACACTAATTTTCGAACAATGATGGTGTGTCTTGGGTTTCCGATTCTGGCTTTGATAAGCCGCCACCTGTGGCTGAAACGGTTCTGCCTAGGTGGCAAGTGAAAAAAGTGATTTCCTTTGAATTTCTGCCGTTGATAGTGAGTGACGCTTGCTCCCATTGGTCGGTGGGTAACTTCATCGCCTTTGTCTTCTTCATTTTCACTTGAAGTTCTGTTTCCGCTGCTTGCCTGTCTCTCCTGCCTGTAGATATTCGGATTTTGTGACAGAAGACATTAATTGTCTATGATGTCTAGATCTTTTGAAATCTTGTCCTTATTTCAATGCGCGGCCTGCCGTATTACCTAGTTCACCACAGTCAGTCATATCAACGGTTGGTAACTAAAAATAACTGTCAGTCTAAAGCCAAATCATTCCAAATAATGAGTGTTCATAGTTCAAAATTTCGAATTTTTATGTTAACATTTATTTTACCTGAAGCATTCAAGTTAGTTCTGAGTAGATATATTAACCAGGAAATAATCGTATGTCAGCAAGTTAGTCATCCTTTCCATCTTTTACTCAAAATATAACTAATTCATTTCGTCGTAGCTAGACAGTAGTGTTTAAATTTATCTTCTAATAATTGTCTCTTTTTTGAAAACGTAATCACAAACATTTCATTACATTTAAACCTTAAGGGATTTTGTTGTATGTGCTACTCAGTATTCATTTGGGAAAAAAATAAACCTACAGAGAATTTTTCTTTCCCCGACTTTTACACATGAGTTGTGATCAAAATTCTTCTCATCTTCTCCTGAAGGAGGAATGTCTTAATTACAAGTTAAGAGGTATACGACTGACTTCTGAGAGTGCTTCACTGATGAAATATTTATTTTCAATAATGAAATTATTAAAATGTATTTAATTAGTTCCCCATGCGAGGCACTTTATCAATCCTGGTGTATTTTATTTGAATGCGTTATTATTAAAACTTCTTTGAAGTACTTCCAGTCGACGTTAGGTCCAATCAAAGCATCCATTGCAGTCCTACAGATGATTCAACTATGAACCGGAATAGATCAGTGGTAAAGTGTCTTATTGGAGGATTGGGTGACCTGGGTTAGAATCTTAGGACGGACGTGAGCATTATCAAGATTTCAAATAGGCGCCTTACCGACTGGTGAGTGCCAATAAGCATGAAAGCTAGGTCCAAGTAATTCTGCTGATTGCCTGCAACTATCTAACACATCCTTTATGTATTATCAATCGAAAGTTTGACTTAACGGTATCATCTCAATACCTTTGGAACTAAAAATGAAGCAGTCACTGCTTCGCTTTCCTTATCATATAGTTTATTTAGACATAAAGGAACAAATGTAAAATGACCTCAGTTCATGCGGTTTATAAATGTTAACAAGTGTTGGTTTGCAAGAATTCATCTGATTTAAAGCTTTATTACAAGCTACAGAGCCACTGAAAACCATCTAGAGAATGTCGGACAGTTGTTTGAAACTCTCTAGGGCTATTTACCCCAAGGATCAAACCCAGAACCTTCAGATTGAAACGCCAGCTTGATAACAATTCAACTACTGGGATGAAATCAAGTGAACCATGAATTCTAACTGTTACCAACTTGAGATGTATACTGCAACTACCCGCCAATGTCATTGGTGAGTATCTGCCCTCATGCCTGATTCCATGGATCAACCTGCTCTTCCAGGAATTCCCACCAGAACTTCAAGCAACTTCGTTCTGTAGTCAGTTTCACTAATGAGCACTAGATTAATTTTCCCGAATTGGCAGAAGGCAGAAGTGATGGGCTTTTTGACTCTGTCTCAGTGACTAAGTGTCAGACAAGCTTGTCATGGAATCTAAAGTTCCTAATTTCATCCTACCCCTTGTGTGTTGTGTGTGTGAACAGCCACAGAACAGAACGGAAAAGCTGTCTAGCACAGCTTTTAGCTGACATCGTCTCTTGATGAAATATAATTGGAAGTATGAATTTAATGTTTTGTGAAAAATGGACTATAAGTTTCGTTCAGTTGAGATTTCATTCATACTTTGATGTTTGCTCATCAATCGGTGTTAGTTAAAGAACCACCGAAAACCAGCGAGTGATTGACAGTGGTTTATCCCTAATAATGAACCCTGCAGTAGTACAAACCCAAGACCTACTGGTTACAAGTCAAGCCCGCAGAACCTGGACCAATGTTAAGCCCATGAATCCTGACTTCTACTGATATGTGATATATTGGGGGCGACCACCAGCCAACGTCATCGATGAGCATTGCTCCACACATCTGACCAGGCGGATCCCAGTCATCAAGACTTCTTCCCTCTAGAACTCCAGATAACTTCATTCTGCAGCCAGTCCCTAGCGAGCATCACATTAATTTTCACGAGTTATTCTGTAGGGATTTGATTTGTTTCAAGTTTGATTCCAAGTTTATGCCACTCACAAAAAAAACTGAAAGTCAGAGAGTACTGTTGAAACCTGTTTCCCCCTATTGCATGACTCTTCGGTGATACACGACCACCGAAGATTGAAATGAGGCCCTCTCAGTTACAAAGCAAGCTTGTTGGTTTTTAGTGATTCCTCAAATGGCATCAATCCTTGATCAAGCTGAAATCAAATCAAATCCCTGTAAAATTAACTCATACAAGCATACTATTTTCAGAATGTGAATCATTTAGGTGATGCCCTCAAAAACTGCCCACCGCGACGCGGCGCCAAGTCTCTGATCTGTATAGTAGCACTGACTTCACATTGGAGTTGAAAATCGGGCTCTTATTTTCATTTTCATGCTGAGCGCTGTTGACCTTCACACAGACCTGAGATTAATGAAAGCTTACCTTGCCTTCACGATCCTCGCTGCTTTGATATTCGTGTCACTTTCGCTGGCCTGTAGTTGAAACGATGCTCCCAAAATAGGTAGGTAAAGTAGGTTGCTTCCTTCAGATTTCTCCTATTCATGCTGACTGATTGTCATCTGTCGCTGTTGCTGTTGGCCAGGAATCTTCATCGCCTACCTCTTTTTTCTCCATGTCCCCATGAAAGAAGTCCTATATTTGATGCTTCTTCTGCCAACTTGTTGCCTTCAATTTGTATACCTTCCAATTTGTGGGAAATCAGACAAATATCATTGGCGAAGTCCAGATCTTCCAAATTTCTCGTGTGGGTTCACTTAATGCCTATCTTCTCGTTTCCTGCTCTCTGTCTGTTGCATCATCCAGTCTACCGCAATCAGTAAAATCATTGGAGATAGTGGGCAGCTAGCCAACTTGTCTTATTCTCGTCTTCACTTCGAAGGATTCCGTGACTTTCCCGTTGTGGATTACTTCTCATGCAGCATTGTCGTATAGCTGTTGGATGAGATGCACAATTGTTGGCGACATCCCGACGCTGTTTGCTGAAGGCGCTTTCAAGGTCGATGAAGTTGAGTGAGGTTGGGAGATGACTGCCATTCCAAGCTCTGTTCAATGATGATCCATAGTGTCGCGATTTGATCGATACATGACTTGTTTCTCCTGAATCCAGCCTGTTTCAGTCGAAATTTTTCACCCAGGACATGTTTGATTCTCTCCAGGATCATGAATCTTAGTATTGTCTTGGGATTATTACAATATTATTATTATTACTACTATTATTATTATAACATTATGATTATCTAAATTACTTCCGGTTAAATTTTTTTGCTTTTATTGTTTCAACTTCTTTCTCTCTTTTTGTGAATGTGTGTGTGAATTTGCAGCTGAAAATTCAACCTAAACAAAGTCTTTTAATGCAATTAGTTAAGTTTAACAATTTTCTATCAAGAAAGGCGATATCTACAGATTTATCTAAATTAATACCAGACCTTGGGTAAGTTGTGCATGAATACTGTTTTATTTACATTATAAATTTGTAACTTTTTTCAAACATGCGTTGGTAACACTAGGGTAGAATACTCACAAACCAAGCAGGTGGCTCGAGGTTCGATCTCCGGCCACTGACGCATTCACTTCCCTCGCTAAGCCAGGAACAAAACTGGTAAAGAGCGAAGGTTGGGCATGAAGTAAAAAAAATAAATACCTCTGCAATGGAAACTTCAAGCCCCTAGCTTAAATTGTCTAGGATTGGTGATCGGTCTTTCCCAGATTGTTGAAGCACCCCCTGAGTGGTGTTAAGCGACAAGCGTTTTGCAGCATAATAAGCTCTTCTGATAGCTTGATAGATTCTTCTTTCAATCGCTTCTTCTAGGTCATCTCCTTTTAATGGAAAATTCATATATATACAGGTTTCTGTGAAACTATCAGGACCATCTTATTGGGGCTAATTTCTTTCGAATCTTTGTTGATGATCTCCTTAACATATCCATTCTTAGATAAAATGTTCATGAGAGTTTTTATTTAATATTCACGTTTTGCGGACAGAACAGATGTTGCTTGCTCTATCGAAAAATGTTCTAAGAAAGTTCTTTTTAGGCTGGTTTAGAACAAAGCTTTTAACTTCACCCTGTCTTCAACTTATCTGTCACATTCCCACAGTGGAACTCTAACGGTGTATATATCATTGTATGCGGAGTAGTTGGCTGGAGAGTCCCATCCAGAATTTGATGAATGCATAAAATCCTACATTTAGTCATGAAGAAAATAAAAGACAAATCAACGTAGAAAAAATTTTCTTCATCGACGAAGTCATCTTCACAGGCTGTAAAGTCGTATTTATATTTACCAGAAATGTAAAGTAGTCCATTATTGAGTAACATGGGTGTCATAATTGATGAAACTACTCAGAAGTGGCTTCATAAGTAAAAATATAAGTTAAAAATTACGTAATACTAAACAACACAAAGCAAGAAAGCGTTAGAAATTTGATGAGGTTAAAATTGTTATTGAGTTAGCAGAAAGATCGCAGTTTAGTGGCCATTTAATAAGTGTGAAGAGGATGAGAAAATGTACAAAACAAACATATAAGAGTGATAACGGTAAATTAATTAATAAAGTAAAAACATATCTAAAAAATTAAATTTTTACGAAGAACGGTTGGTAATGAGATTAAAACCATGTCAGAATAAGAGACTGGACAAACTTTTTTCGTAAACAGAGTTCGGGGTTGCATTGACGAATTGGCAACGCCTCTGCCATACACAACTGCTGAAACCTAACGCCCTTTGTACCATTTAGTCTCACCTTGTAAATAATCCTGAAAGACAACTGTGATGGAGTTGCGTAGCTCGAGTTCACCAAGTGTTTGAGATTTCAGCTAGTAACTCTATCGCATTGTCCTTTTTCTAACCATGCCGGATAATGTTCAGGGATGAGTTTGGAAATTGGGCGCTTTGTGTGACGAATAGAACTGGCCCCACGGGAACAAGTACATTTATAGACTCAAGTTATATCACCTCTCCTATTACTCACTAATTGACTACTAAACATTTCTGGTTAATATAAATACGACTGTACTGCCTGTGAAGATGATTTCTTCGCTGTAGAAAATTCTCTTCACGGAATCGCCTTTTATCCTCTTCAAATCCTTTTTTTATTAACGTTTGTTACTTCTTATAAATCTGTAACAGGGAATGATTGTTTCCCGTCATCAAAGACATGAGCAGTTCATACTAGATACTTGAAGACAAAGGATAACAGTGCAACCTTAATATTTTACGAAACATTTCACCCATGAATCCTATAAAAGCTCTGAAATTTTATTCTGTCTAATGTCTTTCAGAGACTAATAATGAAACTACGAATGATAACACAAATAAGAGAGAATTTAAGGCATTTAAAGTTATACCATATAAGAAGGGGATATTTGAGACCTCCCCCTGGTAGAATTCTCATTAAAGCAGGAATTAGACTGGCATTTCAACCTACGAAGTCATTCAGAAACAGGCTGTTCAGGCTAAAGGATCCGGTAGAGCCAATTCAGACAAAAAAAATAATTTACAAAATGCCCTGCAATGACTGTGAGTAAGGTCAAGTAAATAGGTCAAACTAGTAGGTCGGGTGTAATCAGATTGTCAGAACATAAGAATTTAGCTAAGGTTAGAATGGTTGACTCTATGAAGACAAGTAATTTAGAAAAACAGTCAGCGATTGTACTGCATGCATTACCACACAACCACACAATAGGCTGGTGGGAGAGGGTTAAAATTCTAAGAAGTAATATAGGTAGGTGGAGAGTGATTGACTACTGAACCCCACCTGGTTCATTGAGTCTACTCCAAACACGACACATGCAACAGAAATGACTCAATGCAAATACCAGAGATATGGAAGATATTATTACCATCAGTCAAATCAAAGAAGGATAATAAATAATCTTAAAATTCTATTTCAGTTCACGTACATCATAACATTCTCGCAATTTACTTATTTTGATTATAAAAAACATATTATTTCTCATCTAGTTGTATTTGATCAATAACACTCATGTCACTATTATTTCTGAATGTACATTATCTTATACTGGTTTTTATTCAAATGTTTATTCATCAATTCGACTCATGTATATAAATGAAGCAAGAAAGTTGTGTGAGCGAGTGACTTGATATGATTATGAGTGGTAATAATTCGTGCTCGAAACGTGGTCATCAGTAATTAGTACTGTATAACACTTTGTGATTATCAAAATAAAATCTTATCTATAATGGACTTATACTCTACCATAGTACCCTAGTTTTATACTTATATGAATAGAAAAGTACTTTCCTTAACATGAAAATCGAATGAGATTTAAATATGGAATCCTAAATGGCTAAGTCAGATACTTCATAGAGCTTGGAAAAGCTGTTGTTATCTGATACAAAAGTTGTCATTTTATTAATGTATACGTCTGTATCCATTAGGACAACTCCTGAACCTTTGTCAAGAGGTGTTATTAATAAATCCTTATTGCCTCGCAATTGTCTGAGTTGTTTGTCTATGTTCTTTTTTAAGGAGACATAAGGCTTTTGTTTTCAAGCTGAGATACTGATTACAGCAGTCGAAGATTGTTGACTTAAAATGTAGAAAATCTATGTCGGAATAATAAACACGTCGTGAAAAATGTTCAGTAATGGTTCTAATGGATAGAGATGTATACGTTAAGAAATTGACAACTCTTATATCAAATACTTTAAACACTGAAAGCTCAGACCTCATTTTAGCGATGAATCATGCATAAGAATAGACCTCCAAATATTGACCATTACAGTTATAAATAGATAGAATGTATTTAGAATCGGATGTGAAATATTTTCGAAATACCTTCCGAACAACCTCGTCAAACATCAGCTTGTCGATTAATTTTATGTGAAAAGCAAGAAACTGGAGATAAGTTAAAATAAAATAAACAAAGCAATAGGGAAAGGAATGATTTTATTCAGGTGTTGGTTTGTAGGGATTTGACTGGTTTCAGGATTTCATCATGAGCTGACATTAGTTAGAGAACCATTGGAAGACCTGAGAGTACTGGACAGCTGTTTCGCCCTAGTTTGTGCCTCTTCATCAGTACGCATCCACCGGGATTCGAACCCAGGACCTTACTGGCGACTGGCCGTATTCAGGTAGGTAGTTATCTGGGTTGCAGTAGGAAGTCGTGACCAGTAGGGTGCAGCTGGTCGGGTGTGAGGACAAATACTCGCCGAAGACATTGGCTAGCGGTCGCGCTATGTCGTGGATTGACAGAAGTTAGAATTTATGGGCCATTGGATCGGGTCCCAGTGGCTCAATGGTATACGAGCTCGCCTTGTAACCAGAAGGTCCTGGGTTCTAACCTTGGCGGTGGGTGCGTACTGATGAAGAGTCTCAGACTAGGACGAAACAATTGGCTGTTCAGTACTCCCTGGTTGGTTTTCCAATGGTTCTCTAACTAATGTCAGCTCATGATGTAATCCTGCAATGATTTTACTTGAAACTAGTCGTGGTAACAAAACCAGATAATGCACGCTAAGCGTACCAATAACTTATTTTTTCGAGGAAAGAACAAAGGCCTCATCCTCAAAGGCTATATAATTGGCTTTATACGCTTGGTAATAATGATAATAATCTGCTTTATTTTCTTTAGTTTGGTTTGTAAGGGTTAATTTCGTTTTTTACGAGTTGATCATCGATTGATATCTATCCCAGTGGCTGAATGGTATACGAGCCAGCTTGCCTTATAACCGGAAGGTCCCGGGTTCGAACCCCAGTGTGTCCGTACTGTCGATGATTCCCAAACTAGGCTGATGAAACAGCTGTCCATAACTCCCTGGTTTTCAATGGTTCTCTAACTGATATTAATCCATGATCAACTCCTGAAAAATCTGCTTTATTCCAAAAAAACAGTACTTATAAAACAGAATGAAATTCTCAGCAAATGTGACAATATTGCATCTAATTTACTGAGAGTATAAATAAAATTAACCACAGGGATTTGTCCACATTTACATTAAGAATACAGTCAAAAATGAAAATAATAAATATACTAATAATAATAGCAACAATGGGTTTGTTTCAAACAATATTGTCTATGCAGTTTGGAAATTTCAGCATGTTAAAGGTTATTGAATCTAATGTTCTCCTAATATAGCTTGGTGAAGGGAAAAACAAAGATTACAACTATTACAGAGTTTAAATGATGTTTACATTCATGGGTAAAAAAAACACAAAAAATGAGAATATCATAAATACAATAATAATAATAATAACAGTAAAGCTTGGTGGAATAAGTATGGAGAAAATGGTTTATTTACTAGTGCAAAGAAGATTAGTTGGTTCATGCTTAACACTGTTTTCATCACATAAAGAACGTGCTTGCAAATATGGTATAGTGGAATTTTTATTCTTAGGCGTGCATGCATAAAGTCTTCTGAAATGACCTCTTGTGTTTACCTGAGAAGATACAAGGTTGGAGCTGCG